TCTGCCCTTCGGAAGCCCCTTCAGTGTCCAGGGATGCTTTTGCATCCAGGGCTGGTCCCGTTCTCCCACTGATCCAGAGGGATCTGCCAGGGGGATTTTGGGGCTGCCCAGACCCCACAGCCTGGGGCAGATGGGGACAACCAGGGGGTCAGTGGGGACAGCCTGGAGGTTCAGTGGGGACAGCCTGGGGGGTGATGGGGACAATCTGGAGGTTCAGTGGGGACAGCCTGGAGGTCAGTGGAGACAGCCTGGGCTCCGTGGGGTCAGTGGGGACAGCCTGGGGGGTGATGGGGACAGCCTGGAGGTCAGTGGGACCAACCTGGAGGTCAGTGGGGACAATCTGGAGGTTCAGTGGGGCCAGCCTGGGGGTCAGTTGGGACAGCCTGGGGGGTGATGGGGACAACCAGGGGGTCAGTGGGGCCAACCTGGAGGTCAGTGGGGACAGCCTGGGGGTCAGTGGAGACAGCCTGGGAGGTGATGGGGACAGCCTGGGGGTCAGTGGGACCAACCTGGGGGTCAGTGGGGACAGCCTGGGGGTCAGTGGGGACAATCTGGAGGTCAGTGGGGACAGCCTGGGCTCCGTGGGGCGGGCCGGGGTCCCGGGGCCGGCCGGGGGACGATGCTGGTGCCCCGCACGGGAGCGGCGGCAGCGCCGGGGCCCGACACGCCGCGGTGCCGCCTTATCTGTCCCCGGCACAAGGGAGGGCTCGGGGCAGCCGCGGCGAATGCAAATGTGGGGCTGCCGGAGCCGAAATACCCGAGGTGACGATGAGGCAGAGGAGGAGCCGCCTCCGGCCGGGTCCCCCTGCGCGCTGCCGGGCTCGGGGAGCGGCGGCACCGGAGCAGGGACCCCCCCGTGCTGGGGACACTGCCCGTGTGCCCCCTAAAGCACCCACCTGCAGCAGCCCAGGGGGCTGGGGGCTGGTCTCGCCCCCCAGATCAGCTCACAGCATCACCTGCAGCCAGGACAGGGTGCCCCGGCACGGGGAGCTGGTGCTGGGTGCCGCGGAGAAGCTCATCCTGGGATGATTTGAGCTCTTCCCACCTCCTCCTTCGTCCTACATCGTCACCAGCCTCATCGGGGGTCCTGGCATTGCTCATCCCCCTCCATGTCCCCCCCTGAGCTGTGTGCAGGGTACGGGGACACTCCGGTGGAGCTCAGCAGGCTCAGGCTCATCTCATACTGGGAGTGAGTCCTCTGAAAAGACCAGAGGGGACCACTGGCCCACCCCAGCTCTGCCCTGGCTCGGCACAGCCCCTCCAGCTCCAGGGCAGTGTTTGGTGTCCACCAGAGCCCCCCCACCTTGCAGCAGCCCGGGACAGGGACAAGGATGCACAGGGAGGTGCCCTGATCTCCTCCCCAAAATCCCAGCATGACCTCAAAGCCTGGAGAGGAAAACACAAAGCTGAGGGGCAAGTCTTGACCCTCCTCAGGACATGGGCTGAGATGTCCCCATCCCCAGGGCTGTGCCCAGAGCCTCACACAGGGATGGACAGCCAGGGGACGGACACATTTTCCTTTGCAGGAGGGGGCTCGCCCTCGCTGTATCCCCGTTTCAGGCCCTGGCACCCTCATTAGCAGTACGGATCAATGTTTCACTCTTCCTACTTCATTATTTATGAGCTGGAGTCCTCCCTCCCCTGCGGGAGCTCGCGGCACCCGCCCCGGCTCCCTGCTGGCTCTTGCTCCCCTCGCCGAGGTTCCGCCGGGGCCCCGCACATCCACCGGGATCTGCGCCTCGCCCAGCGAGGGAGAGGCCCCCGAGCCTTCTCTGTGGGCTCAAAATCCCAGGGAAAAAGGAGAAACGCAGAGGGTGAGCTTCCTCTCCACAGCCCGGGATGGGAATTGCGGCCGCATGAAGCCTCGGGAAGGTGCCCCGTGCTTGGGAAGCGCCTTTTGGGTGGTCGGTGCATCCAGGGGGGACAGGAGTGGCTGTGCCCGGGGTGGCACGATGTGCATTTGCAGCTTTTCCTTCTCACACCCAGTGAACCCATGCCAGGGGGAGCCCCTTCCCGAGCTCCCTGCCCTGCTCCGGGCACGGTGGCTGAGCCCAGAGCCCTGGGCAGCGTGCATGGGACAGCCTGGACAAGCTGGAGAGGATTGAGACCTCTGGAACGTTTCCATGAGGCTCCAGGGCTGAGCTGGCACTGGGGAGAATTGAGTTTGACGTGGAGATCATGCCGCTGCCTTTTGCATTGGATTCTGCATCCTCTGCCCTGGAAACACCGGGTGCACAGAGAAGAGAGCCAGGGAGGGAGCAGGAAGGGTCTGCAGCAGTCCCAGCAAAGCCCAAGCCCACTCCTCGTCTCCTCCTTCCCCCCGTCTGTGGGGCAGTGCAGGAGCTCGTGTGATGGAGAACAGATCCTCTTCCCCACAGCACCCCACTGCTCCCTGCTGGGCCTCCTCACCCTCCTTCTGACCCCACTGCGCCCTGGTGAGCCCCACTAGGCACGTCTGGGTCCTGCTGCACCCCCCAGACTCTGCTAAACCCCAGTGTGTGCCCCTCTGCACCCCCTAAACCTCCCTGCACCCCTGGGCTCCCTGCTGAGCCCACAGCCCACCTCGCTCCAGCTGGGGGGTGTTGGAGCTCTGCTCCTGCCAGCCCGAGGACATGATAGCTTCTCCCCCTGAAAAAAACCCCTTGTGTGGGTCAAACCTGCCCTGTTGGTGGGCCCTGGGGTGTCCTGCAGCACCCGTGGGATCTCGGAGGGATGGGCACAGTAGCTCGGGGGTGCTCAGCCAGGGGTGCTGCTGCTCCCCTGCCCTCCCTGGCTCCCAGCCCCGCGGGTTCCAGGCCCCAGCCCCTTGCAGGGGACCCCAAATCCAGCCCTGGCCCCCCGTTGGCCCCTCACGGCAGTCACAAGCGCGGAGCCCCGCGGCGAGCGGAGCTCCCCCGCGGCGCAGCGTTAGTGGATAATCACGGAGCCGGAGTGAGAAGCAGCTCCAACACAGCTGGAGAGACCGGGCGCGGGAATTACCGATACCCAGACATTTCCTGGAGCTTTTGACAGTTAATAAACAAACCGCATGGGTCCATCTGGCTCTGGAAAAACAACTTGGGGACAGCGTGTGGGCAGCAGGCACGGCCACTGGCCCCTGACAGCCCCATCCTGGTTTGGGGCTGGTTCCCAGCAGCGTTCCCAGCCCCAGCAGATCCCACCACGGTCCCCAACGGAGCCGGTGCATTTACAAATTCTGTAAGACACTCGAGTGATTTATGCAAATCACTTTTTAAAGCGGCACACAGGCTCCTAAATAACTTATAAGCGTTGGAAGCTGCTGGCACGTATCTGTTCTTTCTGAGCACTGATTCACCTCGGGCATCCCGGTGGTGTCCCCAGGGGCCCGGCTGAACATCCTCACCTGGGTCATCGCAAACTCCGCCCGGGTTCTTCCCCACGTCGACCTCTCTCCGCGGCTGAACAGCAGCAGGGCCTGACCCCCGAGGTTGCCCCGTTTTCCAGACGAATCAAGCAAACCCAGCGAGATAATCGGAGGTGACGGAGCAGAGGAGCCGCCGCGCACGGGACCGCAGCCGTTTGCTGGTGGTGACTCGGCTCTCCCGGGAAGTGCAGCGGGTTGGGAGTGCCCCAGCTCTGTTATCCGCTCGGCAGCTCGGAGATTTTCCCCTATCACTGTATTTTGCTCAAAGCAAATCATCCGGAAAGCAGCCGTGAGCTGTTTCACCCTCGGGCAGGCGCTGCTCCTCAGCTGCCTCCGTGTGTCCCAGCTTCACCCAAGCATTCCCAGACCTGGTCAGGCAGAACAGGGGAGCCCTGGGCTGTTTGTGGCTTTGCTCACCCCACAGTGACATGAAGGTGGACGGGAGCTCTTGTGGGAAGCCGCCTGCTCTTCACTCTCCCTCCGTGGCAGGACAGAGACAGCACGGCCCCGGCGCTGTGGGAGCAGCACCACTGAGCCCACCACGACTGATCTTGGCCAAGATGGGGCAGAAGAGGATCGGGAACAAGAAGGATGAGAACACAGCCCTGGTGTGGCACGGTGAGAGGCCACCACGTGCCTGCACCCCACAGCCACTTCATTAGAGCTGTGAGTGTGCATCCAGCAGCTGAACCTCAGGTGGGATTAGAGGGGAAGGACTGGCAGGATCAGGGTCAGGCTCAGCTGCTGTCATTTAGTGCCTGCTCTGCCCAGGGGCCATGCCCAGCCCCAGCAGCTCCCCGTGCACACCTGTGACCCTCTGCACACACCCAGAGGGGTCCCACACACAAAAATCTCCTTGCACACGTGGAGATGTCACACCCCAAAGCACTTTGCACACCCGGAGGGGCCCCCCACAGCCGGAGGCACGGCACCCACCCAGAGGTGTCCTGCCAAGAGCTCAGAGCATCTAAGCTTCACCTTTGGCCAATCCTGTTCCTCTTGCAATGCCTTTGCACATAAAGACTCATTAACAAATGAATTATTAATGATCATTAATAAGCTGTAATGGCATCTGTGGCTGCTGGAGGAGATGAGGAGGTTTTCGAGTGGTATCCAACTGTAATGGAGGTGAGGACTTCAAGGCTGAGGACAGAGCGTGTGTGTCCCAAGGGATCCACAGGCTGGAAGCACAGCTCTGGACAACACCAGCAGCTGAGGGGTTCCAAGCTGTTCCCCTCAGCTTCCCTTTGGTGTTTTTCTCAGCCCCAGGCTGGGCAATAGCAAGGAGCTCTCTAAGGGTTCCAAAGGACCTGCCCAAGAACCTCCTGGTGCCATTTTCCCTCTCTCCCTGATATCACGTGGGAAGAAGCCAGGCTGGAGGGGGCAGATCCCCTGAGCCTCTGAAGCCACAGATCTCCACAGGGAGACCAGGAAATCAACTGTCTCATGGCCTTTTTGCCTCAGTTTCATTTCTCTGGCTGTTTAGAGCCACCTGTGTTTTATCGCCTGTGGAGCTTGGCTGGGGCTCCTGAGGCTGTGCTGCAATTCCTGCTCCAGTCAGGGTTCAAGGAGCTCCTCACCAGCTCTTATTTATTTATACAGCCTGACACTTGGATATTATAACCAATTATTTATTTTTGGAGGGTTTTTCTGTGTGGAGTGTTTGGCGTGTTTTCCTCCAGGCTCTCAGCCCAAGGACAGAGCTGGGGCAGGGTGTTCCCACCCACTCTGTGATTTATCAGGGATTTTAAACCCCTGCTCTCCCAGCAGGGACAGGGAGACCCTTCCAGAGCCACCACATGCCAGGGCTGTGTGACTACTCTGCTTGGATCAGATTAGATTTGAAAAGCGTGATACGTGCGGAGCCGGAGCGAGCGAGCACAGCAAGGAAACCAGACCGGAACACCGTGGGCTTTTCCCCCGTCCAATAAAACCGCCGGCTCAAATCTGCCTGCATGAACTGTCTGAGCGATTGTGAAGGATGTCGGAAAAAATCGCAACCTGCTTGCGGGTGATTCGTGAGCGGCAGGAAACACGGGGAGGCGTCGGGATAAGGGTCCGCAGGAATAATCCCGGATGCGCGGGAATTAGCGACACCTCGGCAGCGTCCTCCGCGTCCTGGCAGAGTCCTGGTGACCCCTGCACGGCACACAGGGACACGGCCAGCGGGTAAATCACCGTGAAGCTCTCAGCAGTACAAACAGGTTCAATTATAGGAGCGTAAACAGATCCTGGGGAGGAGGATGCGGCGGCTGCGGAGCCGTCACGGCGGATCATCGCCAAGGCTCCAGGGACACGCTGGACTGCCCATGGAGCTGCCCTGGCTGAGCCCCCCAAGACCCTCACCCACGGAGCTGCAGGGGGGTCCCGGCTGAGCCCCCCGAGACCCCCGGCCAGCGTGGCTGCAGGTGGCCTCAGTCCCCGGGGCAGCAGCACCGACACCCAGCAGGGCTGGCTGGGAAGAGCTCGCCCAGGAAAGCTTCGAGAGATTAATAGAGTTTAAATGGAAGCGTTTGGAGAGGAGATAAGGCTCATCTGATATGAAATCATATGGAGCAACGGGATCCAGGGAGGCCCTGGCTCTCTAATGAAGTCCACTTAGCACATTACTCACTATAATGTGCTTTTTATTAAAGTCCTGTGCTGCAGGTGCTGAGTCTGCAGCTGGGAACACGGGGCTGCAATGGCACGGGCACCTGGAGTACCGGACCCCGCCACTTGAAGCAGCCGGGATGCAGCGTGAAAAAGGCACCTTCGCTTTCCTGTCTCCCGTCCCGTTTGATCCAGGGACGCGATTCTGGCATCACCCAGCGCCGCGGCATCACCGGTGCCCGCGGCTGGGGCTGGTGGCCCTGCAGGGACTGGGTGGAGAGGAGGCGGAGGTGGAGAATAATACAGAGGGAAAAACTCCTTTTTAATCATCAATTTTTCTGCATTAGAATGTGACATGCTAATCCACTGTGAAGCGTCTAATCTGGGGGATAAAGGGCCGGATAACACAAGCTGCGCCCGGCTTGGCTGGCAGAGCGAGCCGAGGCAAGGTGGCAGCATCTGATAAGGGGTGCAGGATTAGTCCCGGCACAGATCCCGCCTGCCCAGGCAATCCCACCTTGCTTGGCTGCCTCTGCTCTGTCTCTCGCCAGGGTCAGGGAGGGATCTGCAGCACTGGAGCTGTCCCAGAGCGGCTCATCCCGCCCGGAGCGGCGGTGGCAGCGCTGCCGGTGCCTCCAGCACCATCTTGGCAGCTCTGGGAGCTGCAAAGCACATCCCTGGGCCAAGACAACTGGAAAACCTCATTTTTCTCCCTTTCAGTTTGCACACCCGGGTGCGTGTGGGAGCAGGACAGCCCAGCTGTGGGGTCTCCATCTGCCCCAAATGTCCATTCCCATGCGCTGCTTTGGCTGCCTCATCCCACCGCTCATCCCATCCCTTCCTAGCAGCCAGCTCCGACCTCTGGAGCACCCCCAGGGACAACGTGGGCAGCTCAGCCTCGGCTCAGCCAGTCTTTGGCAGGGACGGGCAGTGCCCGTCACAAAACCGAGCGGGTCCAGCTCCCGGGGCGCTTTCGGCGACAGCATCCCCGGGGCTCGGAGACCTGGGATAACAGAGCTTGCAATGTTGTTTTCTCCTCGCCTCCTCGGGGATTGGTTTATCTCTATGAATAACTCCATCCCGGCTTTGATCTCCTCTGCCATTAAAGCGTGACAGGCTGTGAAATGTGCTGTTGCTGCCGTCAAATCCCGCTCCCGCTTCCCCCCCGCCGCCTCCGTGCTCCCCCGCTCCGGGAAACCTCCTTTCCCAGGCCCGTGAGGAGCTGCAGAGCAGCGAGCGGGGCCGAACCGCCCCGGGACAGTGGCCAAACACGGCGCTGGAGGCAGGAAAAACCCATCTCCTCCTCCCATCCCGCACCTCTCACTGGGGCGGGGAGGAGGGCACGGAGCATCCCCGGTCCCAGCGCCGGCTCGGGCGTGGCGGCATCACCCCAGCACCGCCACGGGGGCTGATGTCACGGCTAATTATAGCATCCCCCGTCCCTCGCCCCCGCCAAAGCTTTACCTGAGAGAGGGTAAAAATAACTCCCGGCGAGGGAGGAGCTGGAACGAGCCCAAGGACTCCTCCAGCATCTCCAAAACTCGCACAAACCAGGACGGCACCCCCCTGGCTGCAGCACACGGCTGCACTTTGTCCCCAGTCTGGGGGTCGGGACGCGCTCCCCTCGGCGCTGGTGCCGCCGTGCTCCGGGCTGCGGCTGTCCCCGGTCACCTTCACCCCGGCTCGGGTGTCGGCGCCGGGACAGGCGGCGGTAACCGGAGCCGGGCCCTGCTGCTGGGAACCAGCCCGGCGCACCCCGCGAGCTGTTGAAGCCGAGCGAAGCAGGTTAATGGCCCCAGTCGATGATGGAATGTTTTCATTACGGCATCTTTCTCGCTCTCTCCCTGCTGCAATCGCTCCCGAGAAGACACATTAAACCTCCCCGCGCCGAGGGAGCGGATCCGCCCCTCGCTCGCACCGTCAGGGACTGCCTGATGGCCTCGGCAGCTCCGCTCACCTGTGCGAGCCCTGCCGGGGCTCAACAACCCCCTCAACCTGCAGTTCCTCAATTCCTTTTCCCTTTTCCTCTGCCCTCAACAGCCGTGGCACAGGAACCCAGTGCCAGAGCTGGGAGCAGCAGAAATCCCAGCCCAAACCCGGAGAGCTCCTGCCTGCTCCTCCCTGTCCCAAGCATCCTCTGAGCCAGCTTGTGTGGGATCAGCCCAGTGTTCCCACAGGGCTGAGCCAGCCCAACTCTTCCAAAGCCCCTCCTGATGCTGTTACAGCCCTGCCCTGCAGCTGCAGCTCATCCCCACCGAAGACACAGGGCACCTGAGACCCGGCCCCATGTTCTGGTGGCTCCCAGCCACCCAATCCACCTTCCTGATTCTCTTTTCTAGGAAGAGTTTTCCTCTCAGATTCTCTGGGATGCTCCCAAAGGGTGTAACCTTGATCTTGGCCTGATGAAATTTCATCCCGTGCCTCTGGTACTCATCCCCAAGGTCATCCATTCTTTCCCCCAGGTCTCCAAGTGGCATCTGGCAGTGTCCCTCTTTCACAAGGGCCCGATTGAAGGGAACATTGAGCTCAGGGAGCCCCAGGATGGGACACCCCACTGTCACATCATGGATCACTGCCCCTGGCAGGGATCCCCAGCATGTTCCACTGGCACCACCTGCCCAGGAATCTCAGATAACTGTGCTGGTATCAGATCAGATTTTTACTGAGTTCCTGGCGGATTTGTTCTCCCAGTTTGTGGTGTCCACGTGCGCTGGGATGTGCTCAGGGTCCAGGAACTCTGCAGGGAAGGAGATGCAGCAGCTGAACTGAGGGCTTGGGGTGAACTTCTTCCACCCAGGCACCAGCCCAAAGCTCCCATCCAGCCCCTGCACTTCCAAGTGCTGCTGGATTTAGATTCTCCCCCGGTGCCGGGATGGGGCTGGAGATTGCTCTGTGGTCTCTGGATGCTTTTATGAAGTGCTGAGTACAGGAAAGCAGCAAACCACGAGAAGGGGCTGTGCTGTGCAGAGAGGAGACGCCTGCACTCCCAGCAGCTCCATCCCAGCGTCCTGCACCAGAGCTGCTCCCTGGGACCCCCCAGCCTGGCTGGTTCAGCAGCACGGGGCCTGGAGGCCATTCCTTGAGGGAAGAGGGGCTCCCCATGCCCCACTGGGATCCAAAGCATGAGGCGACGTGCCCAGCACTGACTGGGCTCTGCAGAAGGACTCGTTGCCTGGACAGCACCCAAACCCTGTGAAGACCAGCCCTGCTGGGAGGAGGACAGACCTCACACCACTGGGAACGCCGCATTTGCTGGATTCTCACATGCACACGCCGGTGCCCTGCGGCACAGGGGGACGAGCCTGCAGGGATGGGCACTGCCAGGGCAGGAGGAGCATCGTAGGAGCCTGAGGACACCACAGCATCCTTCCCCCCACGCGGACCACCGCTGAACCAGGACAGTGTCACGGGCATTTGGGGAAAACCTCTGGCTCCAGCTGCCCTGGGGATGACTGCAGAGAGCCTGGCATACGGCGGCTCTGGAGACAGCCGGGACCCAGCAGGGAGGGCCTGGCTGGAGCAGCCGCTTGGGCTGCCAGGGCCAGACCACTCAAGGATGGAGGGCACGGCATGGGGATGCAGCGCCGGGTACCTGCCCGCCGGCACACACCGTGTGCCCCTCGGGCGCCCAGGCAGCACTGGGAGCTCCCACGGTGCTTCTGGAGCCGGTGATGTCCCTGCTCCCTCCTGGCAGCCGGAGCCGGCCGGTCCCGAGGGGCCTGGGGAGCCCGCGGAACCGCCCCTCGCTCCTCCTCCCCTCCTGCTCCTGATATACCCTCCTCGCTCCGGCCCCTCCGAGCATCCCTCTGCTCCTCTCCCTCACTCCCGCTCGCCTTTCCCTTCTCCGTTTCTCCTCTCTCAACTTGCCCCTTCCCCCTCCCCTGCTCTCCTCAGCCCCTCTCCACCGAGGAACTGACTGAAGACCCCAGGCTGGGGCAGGGCGCGGGCCAAGACCCCCACACCAGAGCCAGGACCTCCACAGCTGGGACCCCCAGGCTGGGCAATGCCTCTCCAGATATTCTGCACCATCTCCTTCTCCAGCGAGGAAGCACCAGAAGATGCTGCAGCCACTGCGAAGGGAGAAGATGAAGCAGACGAGTTCCTGTATGGGCAGGAGGAGGATGAAGAGGACGAGGAGGACGCAGGAGCAGCCACGGACTTCGTGGCCTTTGCCAGCAGCTGCACCCTGCATGGGCTGAGCCACATCTTCGTGGAAGGCAGCCTGGGTGCCCGGCAGGCACTGTGGGCGCTGGCATTCCTCCTCTCCCTCTCCGTCTTCCTCTACCAGGTGGCCGACCGCATCGCCTACTACCTGGAGTACCACCACGTCACGCTGCTCAGCGAGGAGGACAGCCCCGAGATGACCTTCCCCGCAGTCACCTTCTGCAACATCAACCGTGTGCGGCTCTCGCAGCTCAGCCACGAGGACTTGCTCTACCTGGCCCCTCTGGTGGACTATGAGCCTGGGATGGAGCTGGGCTTCACCCCGGCCCAGCCCGGCCCCTGGGAGGAGGACGAGCCCCTAAATTTGTACGGGTTTTTTAACCGCACTTGCCACCAGCTGGAGGACATGCTGCTGAGCTGCAGCTACCGCGGCCAGCGCTGCGGCCCCGGGGACTTTGCGCCGGTGAGTAGCCCCAGGGTGGCCCGGCACGGGGAGCAGCTCCGGCGCTGATCGGTGCCAGATCAGGCAGGTGATGCTGCCCTTGGAGCTTGCTCAGGGACAGGCTGATATTTCAGCCCCATCTGCCAGAGCTGGGGACGGCACCGGCTGTGGAGATGCTCTGGTGGGACATGGAGCGTATCCCCGGGGCTGTGCTTGCTGAGGAAGTGCCTGGCACCTCCATCCTGCTGCCATCAGGGCTTGTGGGGCACCATGTGGTGCGAGCCCACTGCCCTCACATGTCCCTTGCCCAGGCTGGCAGCAGCTCCGTGGTTTTGGGGCCGTGCTGACTGCCGGAGGTGAGAGCTGGAACGGCTGAGCAGGGATGGGGGGGTCCAGGATCCTGTCCAGCCCCATCCTCTGCAGGGATGGAGGAGGGCTTGGAGAAGGGCGTCAGGCTGAGTGCCACCACCCTGGGGAGCCACAGCTGCCGTGGGCTCTCTGTAAATCCCTTCTGAGTCCATCCCTGTGGGAACATCTCCTCCTCCACCAGGGCCAAGATGAGCAGTTCCAACACTGAGAGATGCTGTGGGTCAGGAGCCTGGGTCGGACCATGCCCAGGCTGGGATGGCTGAGTTTTGGGGTTGGGGACGCTCTCCTGGCTCTGTGCTGTGGCTGCACACAGAGGGGCCTCAGCCTCAGCCCTGTGTCCTCTCCTGCAGGTCTTCACCCGCTATGGGAAGTGCTACACCTTCAATGCGGGGCAGGACGGGAAGCCCCGGCTCATCACCATGAAGGGGGGCACTGGCAACGGCCTGGAGATCATGCTGGACATCCAGCAGGACGAGTACCTGCCAGTGTGGGGGGAAACAGGTAACCCACTGCCCCAGTGGGCCCACTCAGCCACCAGCAGCTCCTGGGGTGCTGCCCAGCCCCTACTCACCTCCCCAGCCCCTTCCCAGCTCCCCAGACCACAGATCCACCTCCCTGAAGCTCCCTTCTCTCCCTCCTTCCATTTCTCATCACTTCTGGTCTTTTCTTTCCCTTTTCCTCTTTGTCTTTGCTCTTTGCCATGGCAACTCCCCATCATTTAGACACGCAGCCATCACTTGTTTATAAATAGAGTCAAATACTTTCCCTGCCACGCTCCTGGGTGTGGAGCAGGGGGGTCGGGGCGGAGCGGGCAAGGACATGGTGCAGCAAACAGAGGGACAGATGGATGGCCATGTGGATGAATGACTTGGCCCAGGGGAAGCTTGGGAGGCAGAAGTTGTGGTCCCTCTCACGGCAGGCTCAGCACAGCCCCTTAGAGCAGGGACAGTGCTGTGCTCACCTCCCTTCTCTCTGCCACAGATGAGACCTCGTTCGAAGCTGGGATCAAGGTGCAGATCCACAGCCAGGACGAGCCCCCGCTGATCGACCAGCTGGGCTTCGGGGTGGCTCCCGGCTTCCAGACCTTCGTGTCCTGCCAGGAGCAACGGGTAGGAACTGGGCAGGTGTGGGACGTCCCTCCCAGCCTGAGTTGCAGGAGCAGAGTCTCCTCACTGTGCCCCTGTCCCCATGCCGATGGAGGGGAGGACCCGGTCCTGGGGAGCAGTGCCACGAGGGTCTCTGTCCCCTGCCACACTGAGGGGGGTTCTCTCCTCACTCCTGGCTTCTTTCCCCTTGCAGCTCATCTACCTGCCGCCTCCCTGGGGCGACTGCAAGGCCGTGGCGGGCGACTCGGAGTTCTACGACACCTACAGCATCACGGCCTGCCGGATCGACTGCGAGACCCGCTACCTGGTGGAGAACTGCAACTGCCGCATGGTGCACATGCCAGGTGAGCCCCGTGCCTGGCCTGGCCCCGACCCAGCCCTCCGGTGTGCTCCCACCTGCAAAACGTGCTCTGTGTCTCCCCAGGCGATGCCCCTTACTGCACCCCGGAGCAGTACAAGGAGTGCGCGGACCCGGCCTTAGGTGAGGCTGCCCGGCCCCGTGGGTGGGACGGAGCCGCGGTGTTGGGTTTCTCCATCTCGTCATCCCCCTCTCTCCCCGCACAGATTTCC